ATTTCTATTTTGACAACAAAATACAAATGTATTCCTTAGGTTGTATATAGTTTAATTTCTAAAATTAGAATCTTTCTCTTGTTCTACTGCCCCAGCACAAACAGATGTGCATATAATTAGTATTTTGATATAAATTGGCTCAAACAACATTGCTCAAGATTAAAATCAGTATTCTATTGTGAATTTAAAAAAATGTGTATATATTCTGCTCTCCATTTCCCTAAGAATTCTGTTGATTGCAGATGCCTAGGAAATAGTCTTAGTGGATTATTCAAAACTTGGCAGGTTTTTGCAAAATGCTATATTAAAAAATACATATGATTATGACAAGATCCTCCATTTAGTGTGATGGGCCTAATATTATCACGGGCTGTGTGTCCAAAGGCAGTTGCACCCCAAAAATTTTAGATGAGATGTATAATGTGATTTGTCTTTAAACCACATACCCTCTGGAGGCATTGGAAAATAAAAGGATGGCATTAAAGGAAAAAAAATTATCTACATATAAACAGTTACTTATATATAAATATAAATGTACATATAGTTGTTTGTGAAGCTAGTAATGTGATCACATCCTTTTTCTATTTCTAAGAAGGCTCATGGAAACTGAAACAAATTGGGAGTATTTTTGCATTGCACATTTGGCTCAAATCTGCCACTTAGTGGAAGTATAATCTTTAGCAAGTGACTTAAAATTTCTGAATATCATGTTCATCATCAATGAGACAATAATAACGTTTTAAAGTACATTTAAAGTCATAGTAGTAATGTCTGCTGAAGTACTTTGCCATCGTAAAATTCAAGGTAGAGATAGCTGTGATCCTTCAGGAGTAATTCTAACTGCCACATCTGTCTCTGAGGTGGAGCATGTTTCTTAGATTGAAGACCTTGGGGGAGTCATGGTATTCTTAAGAGGACTGTGGGAGGAGCTTTTAGGGAGATGACTGAAAACTATTCCTTCTTTCTTCCTCTCCAGGAAGATTGGAAAGTATTTATTTGATTCATTTGCCAATTTTTTTCTTTTTCTACTAAACATGTCAATTCCTAAATATTTTCAGTAAGTTTGGGATTATTAGACAAAAGCTTATATGAATGTGAAGGTATATGCTTCTTCAAAAGTTCGGGGGAGTACATTGACACTCTGGTGTTTGGATCAAATTACATTATCTTGAATGAATTATTCTTGGAAAATTTTCTCTTAAAATTCTTAAATTTCTGCCTGCCAGGCAAAAGCAAGTAATTATTTTCCAAATACCTAAATGTCATTTTGAAGTATCTCTATTTTGACCTATTATGTTCAGTGAGAAAATAGCTCTGCTTCATATGCTAGCTTTCAGGGTCTGAGACTTGATGCTTCTGTTTCCATGTGATTATTTGCAGAATAGAATTTACAAAGGGAGAAATAATGAGCCAGTGGGAAAATCAGATGTTTATTAGTGTGTGTTTTCATTTTTTGAGGGGGAAGGGATTCGGTAGATATGGTTTTCCCAGAATATCAATGACACCCATATTTCAAAATAGCCTGTTACACCAAGTACAGATAGTCTATTGTTTTGTTTATCTACCATATTGTTCCTTTTTATTTGGTTGATGAGCATAAATGGACAGATTTGGAAAAGATGGCTTAAATCATTCATTTGGGGTGGCTCTCATTTGCATATTATAACCATCACAAAAAATGAGCTTTCAGCCAAATCACATTTTGTTTGGAAAGCAAGGTGTTTTTTTTACTGAAATTGTATCTGAATGCCTTGAAGTGGAGTATATACTCCCTGTCTTATACCCAGCTGTCTTATGAAATTGTACTATCTGCCTGGATGTTTAGCCTGAAAAACCAACAGGATTTCATCATCAGTCTCTGTTACTAACTTTGATGCATTTCAGCAGGTAAAAGTTCTAAATAATTGATCATAAAATCTTTCCAGAAAATTTCTTCTTTAGGCTAGATGTAGTTCAGCTTGTTAGACTGAACTTTGGGAATCAGCAATAGAGAGAAAGGCTACAAAATGGATCCTTTAAAACTGTAGCATCTAACATTTTCACCTGGTATTGCATTGGAGTATCTGAAAGATGTGAATGTGGTACAGTGGATGCAGCAGAAAATGAAGAAGGGAATAGCAGAAATATGTTTACTATTTCTTCCTTTTTCCCTTAAACTAATAGAGTTTTCAAATGAGTCAAATACATATTTTAATTGATAAACTGACTTTATATTCACCTATTGGAAACAGTACAACATATTTTTACATCAGATTATGAAATATGGATGTTTTACTAAAAGACAGGAAGAGCTTGTTCCAGTCTTTAAAGTAAATACATATTCAAAGGATCTTAAGGCATACCATTTATTCATATTCATATCTATTGAAATACTGTACATCCACATACTTCAATAAATAGTTAAAAACCTGACCTCTTTTTAAATCATTTCTGAGTTTCAAAAAACAATTTTTATTGAAAAGATTAAATAGATAACTTTTGGCTGTGTCACAAAGCTAAGCACAATGGATAAATTAACAATTATTCAGTAAATTTGATCAATATAGATAATTGGCTTTGATAAATTTCTCAGAGTTTTCTGAGTTCACACACTGGGGTATATATATATATATATATATATATATATATATATATATATATATATTAGTCCTGAATTATCTGGTAATTTTCTCAGTTCTCCAGTCTACTTTCTAGATATAGCTTAAAAGTTATGATGAAGCATTAATCTTTCAGTTAAGTCTAAACTCCCCAAAAGTGGCTTTAAGTTTGACATTCTCTCTCTCAAATCTTTTAGTGTCACCCCATAACACAATACTGTAATTTGGGCAGTACTTTTTGTTATATAATTGCTGCATAATAGGAACTTAATGGTGTAACAGGACTTATGTTTCAAATGGGATCGTTGTAAAACATAATTACACCAGTTGCAGTTAAAAGAATGTAAATGTATTAAGTCAGCTACCCTAATATTCTGGTTCCTCCCTCCCACCCTTCCTTTCTTTTTTTTTGCTTCTCCCTTTACCTCTTTCCCTTTTCAGTCTTTTTCTTTTCTTTCTACTCTCCTTTCTCAATGGCTCTTTATTTTTCTTTTTTCTTTCTTTGAAAAAAATTCAGGGGCAACAAAAAGAGTCCCACAAATGAAACCCATGGAAATATAATGCTGAAATGAATAGCTAGAAAAATTGTTATAGATCAAAAGATAAATCAGTTTCATAAAACTGCTATTCTGAAATTGCAACAATCTTGTACAATCAGGACTGATAAAATGGAGTAATCAGACGTTTCATATGTCCATAAATGTAAAATCATCTACTTGAACATTATATGCAATACATTCACACAAGAAAGCAAATACTGTAGCCTTATTTGAACAATATTGAACTCATAAATACTCATGATTTCACTCTGTCCAGGGGCCTAACAACTAGGAATGCTGCTTGATACAGAAAAACATAGTGAATACCTCCTCTATTTAAAAAGTCACTCAAGAAATTCTCTTCTAACATAAAGGCAAATACATATAGCTACTGAGCTATGACTGTACTTCTGTCACATCCTATGGGAAAAACACCAGACTCCACAAATTCGGAATCATGACAACACTTTGAACTAATTATTTGGTTCATCCATAGTTTATACCTCAATTTACCTCACATTTACCCTATAAACCTTACAAAGAGGAGGTATTTTTAACTCTAGGAAAGCGATCACTGTATAATATGCATTCTTGATCTGTTTCTTTCTCCCAAACAATGGTACTGATGGTTAACACTTTTGTGGTAGCACCACTATTTCTAGTAAGTAGATTATCATGGAGTGTGCCACTTTAAAGCTGCAATACACACAAAAAATATTTTGTAGTTTACTCACCAATTCCACAAAGAATATTTTTAGAAAGCAAATCAATAATAATCAAAGTTAAAATGCCATATGTGTTTAAGAAAAACCCTATATCAGTCAAAATAATGTAATAAATTATTACAGTGGGTAAATTTAATAGCATTATGCCATATTATTGCCATTTTATGGAAATATTGTACATTTATGCCTCCTCATCTAGGATTCACATTTCTAATTAAAACAGATTTATGGTGTACTTTGAGACTAAATTTTACTTACATTTTACTTATATTCATTTCTTTCAGGGCAAAATATTAGATATCTTAAATGTATACAATCTCTGTGAAATATCTTGTTTCTAACTATATTAGTAGGTGTTTTGTAGTTATTATGACTTGCAAAAGGGAACTATTTGCAGAAATCTCTCTAGGTATAGTGAAATTGGTAACTTTATTAAACCTGTAAAATGGCTTCCAAGGCTATGGTCTTTCTTTAGTAAAGAGTAACACCAACAAACTATTCTTGTAATATAATGCTTCTTAGAGTAACAGCATTTTCTTTCAAAAATGTAGTTTTCATTCTTTATGATAGAAATAATTTAATATCCATGATAAATTAATAATTAGATTTTAAGATATCCTTCATCACTGGTGGCTGGTCTCCATTTGAACACATCTTACATATATCATATAAGAAGAAATAAAGCATGGTAATTTTTTTTTTTTCTTTTTGGCCTTGTTTGTTTGAGCTACTGGCTATAGAGAAAGATTTAACTGCAGAATTAGTTATTTCAGAGATTGATCTGCTGCATACCAGCATGAAATATTTGTTATAATATATTTTGGAGCTTTCTAAATACAATATGCATACCAAACTATCAACTGAGTGATATTTTCAGATGGAAAATAGGCAAAATACACCTATCCACAGGAACACTATATCTAGCATACCAACTTACCTGCCACAGAACCAAAAATTTTGAGTGCTTACCAACTCATGTAATATTAGGTAATTGGACTTTGTGTCCTTTCTGACAAACCATCTTAAAAATTTTGGCCTGGAACAGCGAAAGGAAAAGTTGCTGTATTGCTAGGCAATCCTTTGGATAGACTGTACTATCATTTTAAAGGGAATTATTTCTCATAGTGGATCTAATATTTAGCTACAACTAAAGAAATCATATGGTAGATTTACCTGTACTATGTTAGTTAAATTGTTTTTCATCACAAAACTGAATCATCGTGGGGCAAAATTCTCAAAATGTGGGAAGAGATTTTTACAGCTTGATAACTCCTTTGTTCTTTAGAGATAGGATATAGTTTAACTTTATCATTGTGGTTTACTTTTGCTTTCAAATTGTAGAATTTGGCAAAAACACTTTTATTAGTTGGAGATGAAGAGAAAATTATTATTTCATGAAGGCACACCCATGCTGAACTTACAGGAAAGAGAAGCAGAGCTGCACAGCCAGTTATATTACAAGGCTCATTCCTGAAACCTGAATATCATGCGAGCAGAAAAATCTAGATATGTTATATTTTGAAGAAATGATCTGAAGGCAGTACTATTTGCTTTTTTATCAAAAAAAGAAAAAAATGCATCTTTGTAAATGTGGATTGACTCTTATTGAAACAGGGAAATGAATGCTTGTATTGCAGCCTTAAAGAATCACATATTCACTGCAATATTCGTTTTTTGTAAACTACAGCCTGCAACCTAGCAGACCATGACTGAATGCTTTTGAAAAGTTGTAGATTACAAACATGAAATCACAATTAATATCCTCTAAAAGTAATTTCAGAGCTTTCACATCTTAAAAAAAGGACAATGTGTACTGCTTCACAAGGTAATGTAGCTAATCAAAAAAAGAGTAGAATTAAAGTATTTACATAATGAGCAATTCTACAGAAGGCGATCATCCCCATGTAAGCACTGCTGATTATATCCCACGCTGCTTTTAACAAACTGTACCAGATTGGATCCAGCCATCAGCACTTTCAGAGAATCCTTAAAAGCCTTTTATGGGTCTTTAAATTTATTGTAGAATGGCATTCTTCAGGTAGAATATGCTGGTGAAAGAGGACAGTGTCAACACAAGGTACCAGCAGGAGAAAAGAACGTCAGCGCTCCCGGTAATTCCATACTGGGCTGTACTTGGAGCTGGAAAGAAATGGAAAAGAATAAATCAAAATCTAATTTGTGTCTTTCAAGATCTTAACAATAATCAAAAGGCAGCCGGGTGTACTGGGGAGAACACTGGCATTGGAGTCAGACAGACTTAGGTTCACATCTGGTTCTGCTGTATGACAATGTGTGGCCTATTTGACTAACCTCTCTGAGCTTCACTTTTCTCAAGGGCAAAATAGAAATAATATAATCCACCTGGCAGGGCTGCAGTGAGAACTGGAGATGAAGCACATGTAGCACATTGCACTGGGCTGGACACACACTAAGTATTCAACAAATATCAGCTAACATTATTATTCCTATTATATTCATTGTAAATATTTGCATTAGTGGACAATATTCATTTAGTATATATTTTAAATTTTTATTGAGATATAATTGACTTATAACATTGTTTTAGTCTAAAGTGTACAACAGTGTTGATTTGATACATTTATATATTGCAATGTGATTACTATCATAACGGTAGCTAATACCTCTATCATGTCACATAATTATCATTTCTTTTCTGTGGTGGGGACAATTAAGATCTAGTCTCTTAGCAACTTTGAAGGTATTGTTGTCTATAAACACTATGCTGTGCATTAGCTTTCCAGAACTTATTTATCTACTGATTGTTAGTTTGTACACTTAAACAACAATCTCCCCAGTTTCCCCAGCTCCCAGCCTCTGGTAACCACTATTCTACTCTCTGTTTTTACAAGTTCTACTTTTTTTAGATTCCACATTTAAGTGATATCATACATATATACATGCATATATTTTTGGATCTTTTTTATTGGCCAAATACTATACAAAATGCTGGAAAAACAAAGAGATTTTCTCTTCTAATACCTTTTCCAATCCTAGGAATATTAGAATTGCATGTGCAAACTGCAGTGACGCAGAAAACTGTGTATTTAAATCTGCCTGGCCAAGGGAAGGATGATTTAACAGAGAGTTTTACCAAAGGGGACCATCATTTGGGTAGGGAAAACAATATATTCAAAGGCATGAGGAAAGGAGAGAACACGGCATGTATTCTAGGATCTAAAAGTAGGTTAGTCTTGCTGCACTGTGAAGTTTGAGGCCTGGAGTGGAGAGAATTTAAATGGAACTGTAGACAGATAGAATGACCTTGCCTGTAATGAAAAGAAGTTTAGCTTTTTAGACTGAAGGAGATTTTGAAGAATTTGGAGCTGTTGAATTGTAGGATTACATTCATACATTGGAAAGATCATAGTTTTATACATAGAGAAGCTCCTGTGGGTACTTGGCTAACAGTTACGTTGAATTTTCACTGAGAGGTTTCACCCAGAGATTCACCAAGCTTGGGATACCGTGAGAGTCTACTGAATGGATTCCACTTCGTTTCACAGAGGACAGTTGCCTCTTTGAATGTGAATTACATTGTGTTACAGAAACTGTCACAGGCATGCTCAGCTTTGCTTGAGACTGATTCTCATTTACCATAAGAATAAGAATAGTAATAATAAAAAACTCCACCAACATACTTTTAACTACCTCTTCTTAATGAAACCTGGATTTCATGCGCTGTTTCCTAGTAGGAAATGAATAATGCAATTAAAAAAATACTGTTTCACCCCCAAATTCATAAATCCAGATGCTGTTTTAGTCACACTAAGTTTCAATTACCAACAGCTAGTTTTTAATGGAACTTTCACCAATGACTATATTTTCATGTTACAAGAAGAATAAATTGTGTTGTTTATAACTCTAAGAAATTAAAGGAGATGAAAGATGCATTGGCCTCTGCCAGTGGGGAGTTTTCTTGACAGTACAATTGTTGATTCTGTGTGAGTGAGATTCAAGGGCTGAGACTACTACTCTTTAGTAAACATGGAGCAAAATCAGCTATTTGATGTTTTTATTTGCATCACAAATGAGTTTTAAACAAGGAGAAGATGATGAAGAAAATGTCTATTGTTGAACAGATAGCTTTTCAAGTTTTGATATGTAAGAAGTCTAATTTAAAACCACAAAACTCCTTAAATTATTTTCTCTTGTTCAAGACCTAGAACGATGTTTTATTTTTTTAATATAAACAAATATTTAATTGGTCTGTTACCTTCTCAGTGACAGCTATTTCAGAGTTGTTTTTGCTGTATTTTTAAGAATCTTGAGTGCAATAAAACTGGTATAATAATACAGAACTAATAATAAGGAAAGCACATAAAATGACTTCATAAATAAGAAATAGATCTTAAAAGCCAAGCACACAAAGCAAAGATAACATTTTTATATCATGACAATTTAAATAGTACATTAAGTGGGTAGAGTATAAAAGACTCTCAAAACTCCTTACTCATCCTTTAAAATGCATTTTTGTGGCAATCTTTCCTGAATTCCTTCTATTTCTCCAACAAGCTGAGCAGATTACCCTATTGTGTCATTAGGTCACAATATATATTCCTTTTTATACAACTATCATACTGCATTGCAAATATTTGTGTACATATCTATTTCTCTCACCAGACTGTAAACTCTCCTAGGTCATGTTTTATTTATCTTAGTGTTTCCAGACACAATGTCTGGCAAGTTCTGGTACACAGTGGATATTCAAGAAATATCTGTTCAATGAACAATTCAATTAAATAAATAAATAAGTCAGAGTTAAAAGGAGTATGTCTCTCCTACAAAACAGAATCTCTTCTGAAGCAAGCCATTGTCTATAAGCTAGAGAATCTACCATATGCTTTCTTTCATTCATTCAGCAAATATTTATTAAACTAGGTACCAGGGACTGTACTAAGTACTGGAAATACAATATATAATAAGGTGGGTATGATCCTTTTGTTACTCAATTTCATATATCTCCATATATATTCCTTTTTATCATATACCTTAAATGCCATCTTTTTCTCCAATGTGCCTTTGTCTTCTACTCAGCCTCCTATTGTTTTAGACATGACAAATCTATATCATATTTAAAAATTAAATATTACTTTGTAATTAACAGTATATATATTTTTCCATGGATGTCTCAAATGGATGTATTTTTTAGTTGTTTGTGAATGCAATACTTCCATTAGTCCTAAAATAAAGTAGGAGCCTTTTGCAGCACTGTTACTTGCAATTATTGAATATTATCAAAAATGTACTGTAAAGTAGCTGTTGACAATTAGTAGGCCCCAAAATAAAGAGCAAAGTTAGTTAAGGGAATGTGAGGTCAGATATCTAATGCCAAGTCATATATCATGTATCATCTTTAAGCATACATCGAGCATCGTTTTTTGGTCCTGGGAATTGAACACAAGCAAAGATAAATAAAACTCAATCTCCTCTCAGGAAAGTTTCATTCTAGTTGGAGATATAAATAAAAAGGCAAATATTGAACATTAGGATTTATATAATCACTATAAGGATAATGAATGAACATGGGAGGGCTCCCCAAGGACTCATGGCAGGTAAGTAGTCCAGGCAGCAGACACAGTAACAATTATTTTTTACAAAATGCGGTGATATACACATATTAATACATATATATATCTCACTTAAAAAAACTACAGCATAGTAAAGTAGCCCATTGACTTAGGTATCTTATTATTATGTAATGTTTATCTCATTGACTGATATTTATTATGTGTTTTGGGGGGACTTGTAAACTGAGTGATTTAGAGTACAAGGCTAATGGTACTAAAGTTAGGGGTCTTAGTGCTATTTGGGCCACTTAGATCTGCTTGGCATGTTAAATCCCAATCAGCTATTTAAGAAATTATAGAAAATGTTAAGAAATTAAAGAAAATAACTGTTAGCTATTAGAAATTAGCTTTAAGAATCAATTCAAATATCATCTTTAAAAAGTGAAATGTCTTTATAAAACCATATGAGAAATTAACTTGGCATTATATTTAATATCATATTTACATATCTATCTTTCCGTGTTAGACCAAGAATGTCTTCAAGACAAGATTTATTATATGTATATTTTATCACTGGTACAGAACACAGAGTCTAGTACTTAGTTAGTGTTCAATTAAGTATTTGTTGAATGATGATAAAGTTCACATCCATTTCCAATATTATCACCATAAACACATAAGGGGACACAATATCTTGACTTCTTTTTTCAGAAGAATACTTTCATGACCATATTTTATTCTTTCTTCTCTTTCTACTTTTAGACTCATTCTTACCTTCTAAGACCTGTACAGATTCAGAATACCTTCCTTCAGCATTTCAGCAGGACCAGGAAGAAAGATCATGAGGCAGATTATAGGGGAAGAGCATGTATCAAACTTTGTAGCATCATCCTCTTGCAGCAAAAGACAGGGAGTGTAGAGTAACCTGGGCCCCCATATATGGTCCTGAATTTGGAGACATCCAGCTATGTCTCTGGGATGGTCAGATCTGTTGTATGTTCCCTGCCATGTTTTTAGTTGCCTGTGAATATCATACTGCTACTCATTCTAAGTAGTAGTAGAAGGGAAAGGGCATGTGATCACAGGTGTAGTTGGGCTACAGTGAGGGTTTGGTTTCCTTCTGAGAGATATGAGAAGCCATAAGACAGTTTCATGCAGAGGAGGCTAGCTGAAATTTTAAAATATACTCTTGACTACTCTGTAGACAGTAGATTGTACTAGTGTAGGCAAGAGTAGAAGCCTACGTTAGCCCCAACCTTCAGGGGTTTCCATTGCCTGTGGAGGGAAGCCAAAGTTGTGTAGCTCAGCATTCAGGGACATCTATTATCTGGTTCTAGTCAACTTATCCAGACTCATACACACTGTTAGCTCCAGTCACATGAGCCATTTTCTAAACACATAGAGTGTTTTCATTATTCCCTGTCATTTGCAACGTTACTTCCTATTCTCCTTCTCCACCTATCAAAGTCCTATTCCTCCTTAAAGATCTAAAATACCACCTCCTCCATAAGGCCCCCCAATCTCTCTAATAAGAATTGTTAGTCCCCTGCTTATACCCGATTTCATAAATATATCCTTTTTTACTTATAATAAATTATATATATGTATAAT